ATCGGTTTTTTAGCAATCCGAAAATACATTTGGGAGGGGCCACGTATACGTAGCCCCCCCCCCACTACGTATTTTGTCTCTGGAATCTATACCACCTGAGACATCTGGTTATGCGCCACTTGAATTGAAGCTAGCGCCATCAAGGTTAAGCCATGACAAATTTTCAAAAAATGGGGGGGGGGCAACTTAACGTTTTTAAAGGTTACTTTCTTCTATCATGTTTCTATACTAAATTGTACTCCTAGGCATGCGCCATTCTTGTTTTTTGGTTATCCTGAATCGAGGGGTTAGTCGGTGTGGTAATCTTTCGTACACATGACTGGTAGTCACTCAGTGGCGCACCCAGAAAAAAAATTCGGTGGGAGTTATTGAAATTAGTAAATCCAAAATGTTAACATAAATTATATTTTTAATAAACAAAAGATTACACAGTTACACTACTTTGTCCGAAAAAAACAAAACGTAAAAGAAATTATTTATGACTAAAAATATTAAGTTAAAGTAAGTTCTAATTTTCTAGGTTTTTGTGCGAATTTCTCTAAAATATTTTCCACAGAAGGGGTCATGTTTCTATAAATGTTTAAAAGAGTTAAGCCATTTAGTCGGTTTTCGGAAGAACTATTTCTTAAATAATTTTTGAGTCTTCTCAAAGTTGAAAAACTACGTTCGCCCTCCGCAGTAGAGACAGGCAATGTAGCTAATATAGCAAGTAATACCCTAATATTTGTAAAGGTGTCTGTAACGTGTTGTAAAGCACTTAAGGCATCTCTGGGTCGATCTTCATTTGGCAATCTGGCGATTGCTCTGTACCAAAGTCTAAGTTCGGCAACTAGCCCATCTATAGTTCCTGTCAAATCTTTATAAAATGATACTAAAGACTGGAATTTAGTTAAGGTTTCCTCGGAGAGAATGGTCGGATCTTTGGGAAATAGGGAATGATTAATTCATAAACGATTGTAGGAAAATATTATTTTTAAAAAATCTATCGGTGCTTAATTTCGGGGGGGGGGGGGGTTAGTGCGCCACTGTAATCACTGCTATTCCCGTGGTAGTCTCTGGTATTCCTGTGGTCGTCTATGGTAGTCACTGGTATTCCGAAGGTAATCAGTGGTATTCTCTGGTATTCCCGTGGTAGTCAATGGTAATCTCTGGTATTCCTATGGTAGTCAGTGGTAATAGTAGATGTATTTATTTGACTTTTACTTAACCCAAGATAAAAGATATAAAACCTGGAATCAAAATTTAATTAATAATTTTGACAATATACTGACGCTTGCAAATGCCAAATTTTTCTTACAAATCTAATTATCTTTAAAACTACTAGTTTTTCGGATATTAACCATATAATAAAAAAAACGTACAATTACACGTAGAATTCAAAAATGCATTCAAATACAATGGGTTCTATTTAAAAAAATGTACCATTTGGGCGCCCTACTTTGTGGGCGCGCCCTGTATAATTCCAAATATTTTTAAAATGTGGAGAATATTCAACCATATCATAATACAAAAGGCTCTATCGAAAAGTCTGATCTTCAAGGCATTAAGTTACTCCGCGCAATCGTTGACTCACCCTGTACAACTGTTTCATGGGCATGCCGCCGCCAGGTCTACCCGAATTATCCGAAAAACACGTTATTGTTATGAAGGTAAGCACACCACTTTGCCTTAAGTAGTCATTCAGATGTAGGCGGTTATTATAATTTTCAAAGAAGGACTTTTTCGCATCATTTTTCTTACTGTTTTGCGAATTTTGCATAGATAAAAGTAAAACCTGAAGGGGTTCACAGAATGAGATAAGTACCTAAGCATTTTCCGAATAATGAATCAAATCCACCCATGTAAATCAGATTTGCCTATGGAGGATCTGTAAAGGATCTAGATCATTTTAGGACAATCTTGATCTAGGTGCGGATCTTTGATCTGGATCTAGATCTAGAATTAAAGGATCTTGCCCAACATCGGTCGCAGTCCAGATACAACTCCTTATCTCGCTGCCACCTGTGTGGTAGTCTGGAGTAGTCACTGGTATTCATGTGGTAGTCTCTGGTATTCATTGGTGGTCTGTGGTATTCATGTGGTAGTCTCTGGTATTCATATGGTAGTCTCTAGCATTCATGGGGTAGTCTCTTGTAGTCACTAATAGTCTGTGGTAGTCTTTGGCAACTGGTAGTCTTTCGTACAACATTTTGCTCATGTATTACCCCCTCGTCCTGAACGTAGCCCTCCATAACGCATTTTGCTATCCGAATCTGTGTGAATTAAAGCTTGCGCCATCACTGTTAAACCATAAAAAAATTGTTTTTAAAAATAGGGGAGGGGATAACAACGTTTTCAAAAGGCGTTTATTAATATATTTTTTGTACGACATCGTATCGTTCATCATGCGCCCAAATGCGCCGTAAACAAATCTTTGCGCCAGTATGGTATATTTCATGGTATATATTGTTTTAAATGTCGCAGTGGGAATTCCCGCTACTTAACGACCGAATGAGAAATGTTAAATTATTGGTGAAACGAACTATAGTTTAATTTTAAATCCGACGTTATGTCTCCAGTTTCTTTTTTTCTTATGGAAGTAATTTTTACTTTTTGTAATCATCTCTATCTTTTAATAAGAAATAGCGCTATTAATTCGTCAAAACGCAAGAAACTACGTACGTTCACTACCCAAGACAAAACTTTGTAGGCAATTTAAAAAATGGTGATGTTTTTTACATTTTTGAAATCCGAACAAAATTCGCTATCAAATGGCACGAAAAGTAAACATTATTTCCATAAGAAAAAACAAAGTTGATGATGGTTAATCGGAAACGAAACGTCGGATTTAAAGTTTAAAACTCTGGGAGGTCGCAGAACATATCCGAGGGGGTTGCGAAATACAGGAGAATTTAAAAAAATTTTGCAATTAATTATATATTTAATAACGAAACACAACACAACTATTGTACACGATTTTATTATGTATTTAAAAAGAACTATAATTTATAGGGGACTCGGTAAAATACTCAACCGAGCGCAGTGTTTGAAAGATTGAGAACCACTGACCTAGCAAAATGTAGAAATGCGAAATAATATATAAAATTTAAAAAAATTCTGCATCGGCCGGGAATCGAACCCGGGCCGCTCTCGTGGCTGGTACAACGATTAGACAACCGACCATGACGATGGCTAGCATTTTAATAGACAGGGTGTCCCAAACTTAAAGGTCCACCTTGTACTAGCAGATACAGTACCTCAAAAAAGTATAAATTGTTAGATAAACGATCGTCCGATCTTGCTTCGTTTTCGAGTTGTGGAAGCTTGAAAGTAAAAAAAAGTGCCATCGCTATAACCTTATGTCTTGATTTATATTGTCAGTTTACTTCAAAATAAAAGACATGCTGTCCACGTTGAATCACCCCGGATTAACACCATTAATAGCTGCTAGGCATATTGTTCAGCAACGATTTTGTCACATGCGATCTAACAATTTATGCTTATTTTGAGGCTCTCTGCTATTATGCAGGGTGTCTTAAATTGAGTAGGATAACATGGCTATCTTTGTTATTATTATACTTACATATTCGGTTAAATTGGCAAAGTTGTGTAGTTTTTGGTGCTAATGGATATTCCGATGCGATATTTTGAAAAAAAATAAATCGTTTCGTAGATAATTAAAAAAAAGGGAAAATCCCCATTTTGAAAAAGTTCAAATTTTGTAGTAACAAAGAGAGCTATCGAAAAAAGTTTCAAATAAAAGTAGAGATATTCGATGGGATAAATTTAATGAACGTAGAAAAAATTTTTTTTAAATGGCGGTTTCCGAGATATTCACATCAACTTCCATATTTTAAATGGACGCCATATTGGATTTTACGTCACTCGATAGAGAAAAAAAATACAAAACCAGTGATACTAAACACGTAGTATCTCATTTGGGAATCAACCTTACATTTTTGCCTCAAACTTTATTTCAAGGCCTCCTAAGAAAATTATGCATATAACGGTCACAATTTTAGAAAATCTTAAATAAAACGAAAACCATAACAGATAGGTATAGGGCATGTAATAATTGATCGATGTAGAATTTTTTTCCACATTTGAAAGTGCAAAAAAATAAAGCAGGTTTCATTTGAAAAAATCAACTTTTTAAGGTTCGAAGTTATTAAACTTGACCATTAATTTTAAAACATCCTGTAGAAAGGCGATCAAAATTCAAATCATCCGCATGTAGCATCACTTCAGTATTGTTGAATTTGGAAGACTTTTTGAAATTCAAGTCAACGGAACCATAGGTACAGGGCGCTAAACAGAAGCAGTCAAACGTCAAAAATGTTGAAAAATCTTGAATAACTTGAAAACCTTTGATGCTAGGTATAGGGAAATGTGGAAGCATAAGCGTCTCGCTTAACTACTTGACGCTAAAAAGTCTTCTTGGAAAACATTCTAGTAGGCTTAGTCCTCTTAAGTGACTTCATAGCCTTTTAGAAGTCTTCCTCGCAACTTTATAGACATCTTTTTTGCAATATTTCAAGAACATTTTTTTCGAAACTCTTTGTAATACTCAAGAAATTAAAATTGACCAAGAAACGCAGTTATCGCATATTGACCAGAAAAAGACGATTTCTTCTACCCACGGAAACTGTACCTGGTCTTCTTTTCGTAGAAACCTCCTTCGATACAGTCTTGGCAGGTAATCTTTTTGTTTGAATTTCGTTAAAAATTACATGGAAAGCTTCATGAAAACCTTAAGAGTTTCCTTGCGAATCGTTGACTTCCTAGGAGTCTCTTTAAAGAAGCTCTCTCTAGTAAGAATATTCTTTGACTCTCAGAAACCCTTGAAATCTGTTCAGGAACGTCTTTGAAAGTTTCTTGTGAAAGGTTTGTCTTCTTATTGGAAGTAAGTTACAGAAACCTCTCAGGGATTCATCTCGAAATCCCAGTTAAAAAGCGTGTTATAAAGATTAGCAAAATTTTACTTGAAGTTACAGAATATGGCTACTTGGTAACGAAACGTATTGAAATAAAAAATTGTTATTGGAAGTCCATAGTTTTTGATATAGTTAGATACGATAAAAAAAAGTAAGATGTTTTTTGTATAGAAAAATATGTTTCCGCGCTCTTTTGGAAACAAAATGTAAAAAAAACGATGTATTTCTATTGCTATTAAGTGTTCCAGTGGAACCCCCAAAAAGACTATTGCGAAATTTAACAAATTTGTTCCTTGAGTAGATATTTCTGGATTTTTCCCGATGCGGTCTTCGGAAACGTAGCTACTATTTCCAAATGGCTGGGTATTTTATAAGGTGCAAGTTTGCCTCTACAAAATTCTCGTATCGAATCCAAAGTGACTTGCGATCCCGGTTTCGGTCGTACGCATGCGCATACCTCTTCGCCAAGGCGCTCGCTGTTTACGCCAATTACCTAAACAGCGTATAACGTTACATTTGCAACTTACTTGGGAAATATTACAAAAATTTCCAAAATGTCAGGGTGCTCGCCTAGCAGGTCTTCAATTTCTTTCGGGAAGATGTTTTCGCCGCCTCGTATGATCATATCTTTTAACCTGCCGACGACACGACCATAACCGTCTTCTTGAAGGACGAACTCATCGCTGTAAGCCCATTTTTGTTGCTGGGAGAGAAACTTATGAGAACATACCCAGTTCGGTACCATTTTCGGTCACAAAGCACCTCCTTGGTTTTCTCTGGATCATTCCAGTAGCTTTTTGATATTAAATACCCTCGCACACAAAGTTCGCCTGGCGTACCAAAAGGTACCAAGTTTCCCTTGCGATCCACAACTTTAGCTTCAACATGGTCCATAATGTATCCGACAGTTTCCGTGTTGCGATATTCCTTGTCGTCTATAAGCGATTGGAATGTTATACCGGTCATCTCTGTCGCACCGTATACAATCTGAAAACAATTAAAAGTATATTTACAACTAAGGAGTGAAATGGTACAGTAACATTCTGAATTTTAAGATGATCTTTAATAGCGTTTATAATGCTTGGAGAGCACGGTGACCCCCCTATAACTGCATCAGTAACCCATATCTTCTTATTCGATTTCTTCTGTAAATTAATTAGATCGACGTACATAGTAGGTGTGCCAAATACTATTGAACATCTAAAAAAAAGTTTGAGTGAAATGCAACTTTCCTATTATCAACCTTTCTTGTTCTAGAGCGTTTAAATTCGCAGTTGAGTTGTAAGTCGGCGACGGAAAAACCATCGTCTTTCCAAAATGTGTTCCCATTGCAATCTCTCCGACTACACCAAATACGTGAAACAATGGAAGTTGTAGACAAAACTTTTGTTGAGATTCATCTAAATTCATTCGTTTTCCAACGAAATAAGCAACGTTCAATATTTGAAAATGAGTTAGACAGGCGGCTTTCGGTAGCCCGGTGGTTCCCTAGGGAGTGACAGAATGACGTATCGAAATGCGTTTCATCACCGGCCTTACTGAGGAGAATTGAATATTACAAATGTCATCTGGGGAAACCTTGCTTTGCTGTTCTATACCCGTCTCATCGGCCATACCCAACACCTCGCAGTAGTTGAAAGTGCCTCTAAATTCAATCATAACGGCCTTTTTGGCATTTTGTTTTAAATTACCTCAGTTTCTGTTGAGAGATCATAATGATGGTTTTCAATGTGGGAACTTCGACGTTTCCACTGCTTAAGTCGGGGATTAACGTGCACAACTTGCCATAAAAATCTAGGGTTCGGTACACATCCGGACATACTAGAGCTTTAACACCGCACTTGTTTAAGCAGTACTTTAACTCGTTCGCCTCGTAACCAGGATTCAAGCACACCTACAACTTAGTGCAAATAGAACGTAGATTGCAAAACGTATCAACCGTTATAAGTCCCACACGAGCTGCGGCATACATCGTAGTGACCCACTCTATACCATTGGGCGCCCATAATCCAATTCGATCACCTCTCCCTAAACCCAAACGTCGAAAACCCGAAGCCAGTTGATCAGCATCTCGATGAAGTTCTGTGTAGGTAACTCTTCTATTATCGTACAATGATACAAACGCTTCAGTTTGGCCGTATCTTGCAGCTGCACTTTCAAGCAAATTAGAAAGCGTCATATACCGAAGAGGTTCACTGCCTGGATTGTGTAGGTAACTTAAACCCGTTTTTCGGCTCCTAAGGCAATCGGTTGGAAAAAAGTACAATTGAAAATCACTTACAGGGTATCACTTTCTTGATCATTCTCAATGGCTTGCATTTTGCAAACCGTTCACTTTACGTTATGATGTGTTGTATTTAGATTTGGGACTTATAACGTTGATCAAACATTCAATGTTATCCATTTTATTAATAAGGGAGCAAAGGTTGAATTAATCATTGACAGACATTAAAATCAACTAGGCAAAGTTCGAGTTCAAGAAATGGCTCCTACTTAAACAATATATCCCATGTTTGATCCAATTATACCCTTCACTTCAAGGTAACTGAGGTTTCTTGAACTTCACTGTCGCGAAACCACTCACTACGATATGGCAAAATGTCACCAAAATCATACACCATCCATTAAAAACCGCTGTACCCTTCCGTTGTCGTAGGAGGCTATCAACGAACTGTCAAGAACTAACATTTAAAAAAACCTTCTTACAACTCGCCACTCGGGTCCTACCAGTAACCGGTGCGTATAATTTTTAGTTTCCCATATAAGGCTAATTGTCTCTATGAAAGAAAGACCCTGTGTACAAGGCGGTTCAAATTTGTGGTTCACTATTGGGTTCTCCCTAATGACCAGAGATACGGTGTAGGTGATGAGAACTGAGATATTACCTATACATTTTTCAGTAGGGGAATTTTTGGCCTCACATTCGGAAACCAGACTTTTAATCCGGCTCATATTCAATAGCACTGATCCTTGACCTCTTAGAAATCGATTGGCGAAGGTTTGACATCGCTGCCTCTTTTCTTTGTCGAGTTAGACGAGGAACAGACGGACAGACAGGCGGACAAAACCATCACACAATTTTTTTTCTTTCGATATATTCCCCTTAAACCGAAAATGTCAAATTTCGTTTTCATTTTCCCTATCTTAAACGATCCGAAATAGATGGTTCTCGTTAGCAGCTTCTATGGGTACTGGAGAATCTGAATCTGTGATCAGAATTTCCATAACACGCTAGATGTAGAAGCTGCATGCTACTAGGTTCTTATTCCTATGGACGCCATATTGGATTTTTAAGGAATGAGATAGAGGGCAACGACATTTCACACTATACTTTTGGGGAGAACGCGTTTTTTGTCACAAAAAGGAGCAACTTTGCCCCCATTTATTATCTCACAGTTACTGAGATTCCAATGGTGAGCCATGAATTTGAAGCACCCTGTACAGAGTTTTAATCGCTCGATGCAATATGTTACGTTCTCTTCGCTCGTAATTCAAATTTAGTGTTCTTACTCTTATATTTAAATTCGACGTTTTACTTTAAAGTCACTAAATATAGAAAGTACCGCAATCCATTGGGCTCGTGTGTTAGAGAGAGAACGCATGATGTTTGCCCAAAAATGGCCAGATTCTAGTAACTTTAATGTTATTTTATTTATTTATTTTGCCTTTATTTTTGAGTGGGCGGGGTTTCAGCCAAGGCTGCTCTACCAACCCAACCCACTATACATTTACAAATATCCATGCCCGAACCCGGATTCGAACCTGGGACCCTAGCACCACAGTCCAGCTTCAACTGAACTGCGCCACACGGACCGGACCATACCCTCACACTCCCAGGTACCCCCACAGTATTAAAGTAGAAGTAATTTCTATTCGTTTTTTTAAAACATTTATCCCAAATTATTTATTTTCTGATACACAGCGGCGTACCATCCAAAGTTTGTGTATAGCAGTGCTGGTAAACCGTGACCAATAGTCGGTGTAAGTATTATTTTCCTTTAAAAAACGTTTACTGGATGAAAGGAAAGGTTTTTACATGAGTATTGACGGAAAAAATGTGGATCATTTTCCAACTCATGTTGGAATGCGCTATTATGGTTCCTTTTCCGGCCGTCTGTCCAAGGCCTTAACTACCCCTACAGGTTTTTAGTTCGTTGTTTTTGCATTTGGTAGCTTATAGCTCGCCCAAGAAACATCTTGAAGATGCATGCATTATTTATTGAGATCTTTTTGAAATTTTAACCACAGATGCCTCTAATAAAGACAAGCGTATCGCGTATTGCAACAATCTTTTTTTTTAAATTTTAACCAAAAATTCTTCTAGTGAAGGGCAACATATCGCATATTTATGCCTTAACTTATTTTCGTGTACACATAAATAGGCCGTTATATGACCTAAGCCGAAAACCTTTTTTTATGTGTCTTTATTTTTAATGGGCGCGATTTCAGCTAAGACTGCACGAAATTAGCATGCAACATTGAATTGTTGATAAATTGTAACCCCAAATTGAAAATTCCATATTTCCATTAATATTGACTCACAAAACGTGGCAGTTCTCGCACAAAATAAGCACAAATTAAGGGTTTTTTAGTTCTTGAATGAATAACGATGCACGTTTATAAAAAGAAAATCAATGAAACTGTTGTTGTACAGGGTGTCCCATTTTTACACTTTTATAGGGTATTTCCGTAATTGTTAAGGGTATACGTGTGCTCTTTTGAGTTAAACTTAAAACGGTAAAATCAAAATTTTAAAATATTCGCTCGCTTAAGAGATACGGGGGAAATCAAAAAAGGGTTAATTTCAGAATTCAGAATTCAAAAATATAACACACCAGCGATAATGTTCAGAAAAAATTCCAGCGATCACAAAAATTTTAAAAAGATTTAAATGATTCAAAAAGATTTCAGATTCTTCAATTTTTTTTAATTTTTTGAATCTTTTTGAGTTTGATTTTAGTTTTTCTTCGTGAAAAGAAAATTTAATATGCTATTTTTTAGATTAAAATATACCAGGGTCTTCCATATAAAATATGTGGTTAGGTCCGATAACTTTTTTATCTGACCTCGTATATTTATTTTCAATGTTCGTCATGGTGCCTATATTACTTTTTTGATAGCACTAAGAGTCGAAAATTGGACACCCTGTACACAATTGTTTGTCTGCACTGTACAGTTTACGTAACAAGCGTTCTTCACGTCTTTCAAATGACAAGGGATTTCGATTTGGATGACGTTGTTTCAAGTTTTTGGTGTGTACAGTATTGCAAACACCCTGTAGAATATTGTCAATTTTGAAGGATCCTAAACTAAGTGTACGTGTGCGGTATAAGAGAAAAATTACATGATTACACCCTTTTAAACTCTGAGGATTTTTTAAAATGACTGAAGGTTTTCTTCTAAAATTGCGACTTTTTTGAAACGAATATGTGGAAAACGGTTCAGAATACGTCCCTAAACAGCAGAAAATGGCCCTTTTGTGGTCTTCACCCCTTCACTTTCAACACACCACAGGGATATAGAATATTTTCTAACCATCCTTAGGCCGTTTATAGCCTAACTTTAATGTGGCGTGTGCCAATTTTTACCGAAAGAATTTCCTCAAATTGTGGAAGAATATTTTGAAAATGAGATAGTAATACTAAAGAACTTTTTCGAACGTACTTCTCATAAAAGTTTATTCGAATCGAAGGCAGAAACAACAAAACAAACGCGCCGCGGTAAATATAACAAACCGTATTATTACATTTACACTGCCACTCCCAAGAGGGTGCAGAATGAACGCATCACACACCACCAACGCTACGAGGGGAGCGGCCCCGTTTGATTACAATTTTCGTTGGAAAACTGTGACTCTGCAACAAAATAACTATAATCAATATCCATTTAGAATGAACGCGAGGCGCGTCACCTATCATAAAATGCAACGTTTATACGAGGTGCAATGTAAAAGTATGCAAATAATCAGTGACTCGGGCAGGTACGAATAATAACATTAGTGTTAATTAAATTCTACTTTTAAAGTAACTAACATGATTTCTCTGGGGGAAAGCGCAATTTCTGATTGAAATTAAATGCAAATTTAACAAAAAAAATAGCGTATTTTCGTATCATTAGTATTTAAACTCGGAGGTGGTAGCCTAGTTTGGTTGATCCTCGCTCCCTTAAGACTTCCGTGTCTGTGCCCTATGTAATTTTGGTACCGTGATTATTTCAAGTAAATAATCGGAATAAAATAAATTGGAAAGGAAGGATAGGCCAAATTTTGCAACCAGAAAGACCGAAGAAGAAAAACAACTCAACCAAGATAAACGTAAATAACGTGGAAGCTACAACGATGTATTTTGAAGTATATTAAGAGGATTAAGACCAGAAGCCTTTGGGGGACATTTCAGATATGGGAGACGTAATTGGTGTATTGACAACGGAGATTGACAGTCACACGCACATCACAACAGAATGGGATCGCCGAGAGAAGCAATCGTACACTCATGGAGATGGCGCGATGCGTGCTGATCGAGTCGTTCTGGGGTTAAGCCATCAGGGCAAACTCCACACGAACTTTGGACTAGAAAAGTACCAAACGTCAGTTATTTCCGCGAATTTGGATGTAAGGTGTACACACGAAACAGGTAGTAGAACCCTGGGAAATTCGAACCTCGATCCAAAAAGGGAATATTTGTCGGGTATGCAGAGAAGTCGTACAGAGTGTGGATCTCAGACGAGGGGAAAATCCTCATCACACGAGATGTAAAATTCGTCAACGAGTTCAAAGAAAAGATGAATTTTCAATCAGAAATAAATGGGTTTCGGATTGCGATATAGGTAAAACAAAGATAGGTAATTAAATTAACACATATGGTATGACCGAGGGGGTTAAATCTTCTCAAATTTTGTGACAGTATTGCGATTGCGACCACAATCCGGCGATTGTCGCATTTTAGAGGATTGCATGTGATTATAAATGATTACAGACGATTGTAAATGATTGCAGGCGATTGTGGGTGACGGACAATGATTTTTGGTAGCTGCTCAAGGTGCTCTACACGGACATATACCTAAGCAAGAAACATATTCACTTATGTTGGCCATTAGGGAATTCTTAGTTAGGTACTTATAAAAACACAAATAACAAGTGAAAAAGGTTATCGTAAACTATTTTCAAAAAGTGCATTGCATTCATTTCCCATATTGTAAGATGCTTCTTCTGTTTTGACGTTTCTGCTTCAATTTTAGTTTATAAAAAGAATCCTACCCTAAAATTTCAGAAGCATTGGTTCACAAATAACGAACGTGGGTCTGGGCATGCGCAAAACAAATTATTTGATTTGGCATTAGTTTCATCTTTATTCGAGGTGTCTACATAAAAAATATCATTGAAATAACGTAACAAATAAAAAAATTCGATTGCGCATGGGTCCAACATATTTTTTGACTCGGCACTAGTTTTACTTTAATCGAGGTCTACACCTACATCTAAAGCGTACATACAAAATTTCATTTAAGTATTTAACAAATGAAAAATTGGTTTGCGCAAATACAAAGTTATCGTGCACACGAACAGACAGACAGACAGACGGGCAGACAGACAGACGGCAATACAATACAATCTCGAGGATCGTTAATAAACGGCATAAGTGTTAAATTATGGTACATTGCATACCTATATGAACAAAATGGTTTTTTTACCATAACTTTTTTCGTAAGCAGCACAGAAAAAATTCCTTCCTTGATGCAAACCTTGACAGCATAACGAACCAAATAGCGAAAAAAGTAGAAGAACTAGGGACGGACAGACGGACGGACAAAGTGGCCACAATAGTGCATGTTTTATTTTTGTGGAAATGC